GCAGAGCCCCAAAACAACCAGACAACAAGGCTGTCGTGATTAGCGAGCCGTGGTTACCAAAATAACTAACCATGCAGTAAGCTGTGGGGTGGTCTCATACATTTGCACCATTCAAAAAACATAATTGCAGGAGGCGTTATCTGCCGGTGTGTGCTGTTCTAGCACCGATCACCTAAAGAGCAACTGCAGACGTGTCCCCTCCTGACGGAGACAGCCTCACCTGTACAAGGTGGGTACGGTGATGTGCAGCCTGGCCCTGTTCAGAAGGAATAACTTGTGCCAGCATAATGCATTTTCACACCCCAAAAAATCCATCTGTTCTGGAGGGGGTTTGAAACCCTAGAGCTGTTTTGACAACAAAACGAAAAATCACATGCCTAAGCTGACAGCTGTACTGTTAATTCATCTGATAATTTTACCTTTTTTACCTGTGAGACAATATTACATTTTCTTGTTGAACACCACGACCCCCATCTGCAGCCAGACTCTTGGTATGAAAATACTTGCTTCACACGAATGATGCTGTGCTGTGTAGCAATTCTAGGCTCTTCGGAAATATACTCATTGAGAAGGAAAACTGTGTTTATGGTTGAAAGTACTCTGTTAGATGGAAATGTCCTAAGTATTTTTCTATGGTCATTTAAGTTCATCCATGAATGGGGGGAAAAATACCCACATTGGTCAGACAGATCTTTGTCACTTCTAACTTCACTATGATGCTTTTTATTTATAGAGAGGCTGCTTTCTGTTGGTGTTGGTACCTGTGGATGGAGGACTCCCTTCCAGTTACTTGTAATTTGAGTTCTGCTAACATAAGGTTGCTAACTCTGGTGATGACTACTTTTGGGGGAAGGTTTATTAGGGGGTTTGTTAATTTTTTCCTTAGGAGCAACTCAAATGCCAGTTCCACTGAAGCCAGGTCTGGTGGAAATCCACCTTTGCTGTGGCTCAAAACAAGGATCAGAAATAAGGGCAGAAACATTTAATTTTTTGTTCAGATCCATCACTTCAGGAGCTGCAGAGTGCTGCCGTGCCTGTGGGGTCTCAGTAAGCAGGTCCGTGCTGCCCTGCATCAGGACGCACGCTGCCCCTTTCTTGTATTAGGAGCTGGCCCTGCCCAGCCTTACCTTGAGGAGCCACCGCATCCGTACAGGGAAGACTCTGGCTGTTGCCCAGTAGCCGATGGGGAGCTTCACTGTAGCCTGGGCAGCCGAACTCAATGTTGATGAAATGAGGCACAACTCAGCCAGGTACCTGTCTGCATCAGTTCTGACTGTTGACACGTTTGCACTTTGAGGCAGGTGGCAAATTATGTTGAGTGCCAAGTTTGTTCAAAGCAAAGGAAAGGGATGTTAGAAAATTATAAACTGAGCATAACTTTCCCTTTACGCAAGGGAAAAGTATGCTTCAGAACCCACCTGCAAGGTGAAAACAGTGGAACCGGGGACACAGGGAAGATGGGAATGATTTGATTGACTTTTGCTGGCGGAAATGTCATCACCATTGCAGATACAAAGCATATTTGCCACATTAACATTTGAAAATAATGTTTCTGAATAAATTTAACTGCCTAATGTTATGACTTCCACTAAATATGTGAATTTGCTGCTTCTAAGAGGCAATGTGAAAGAGGAAGTATTACTTTTGTGTACAAAGTTATTTATTTATTAGAAAATCTGGTACAATGTTGTACATTGAAAAACATGTAAGATATTGAAGTGTCTAACAAATGGCATTGAAGTGTCTTTAATAAAGGTTTATAATATTACAGCTGTTGAGAGTGAGCTTTTGGGAGTTTTCAGTTGAAAATTAAATAAAATTCTAATCCATTGCTATACTCCTTTCTGTGTTTCTCTGATGAAAATGCCGACTAACTGCTACACTACCCCCTCATGAAATCAGACCCATGACTCTTAACATGAGATACTGTAGATCAGCGTGAGATTCTGGCAGCCTGACTTGCGGATGGGTTGGAATTTGGGGGCTGTATTGAAAGATACAATAAAGAACTCCTAAGAAATACATTTCTAATATATCAGCTTGCTTAAGTATCGGGCAAATACCCTCATCTTGGCACTGAACACAGCACAGATGGGCTGTGTGCATGCGTGTGTAAGTATGTAAGGAAAATGGGGCTAGGACAGGACCAGGCTCAGCTGCAGTTGTGAGCACCTCTGGCTTTCCCAAACACAAGCCCCACCCTGTATGGAAATTCCAGAGGCAGCTTTGGAGATAAGCTTGAATTCCTGCTTTAACTGAAAATCTCAATTCAGTTTCTGTATATTTAAAAAAAAAATTTTAAAGTATTTCCTCCTCCGAATTATAACTTTGGGTATCAAGCAGAGTTTCTGAGACTACTCCGATCAGTCCTTTACCACATGTAGGAGTTAAAATATGTTAAAATAGTAAAGAAAGATCCTTCAAGAGGCTGGTGCCTGGTCTGAGATTCAAGTTTTGTTATTCCACATTATCTCAGTAATGGAATAAAATAAATTTTTCAAGTTTGGTAAACTTGAGATAAAATGTCACTAAAACTCAAGGCAAACAGGCACTAGGGGAAAAAACAAAACCACATTTTTAGGTCTTCTTCCCCCTGCCCTCCCCCACCATAG